TCAGCTGTTTCTCAATCATTTTCTTCTTGTATATAAACTGAGTGGTCCTTCATTTTAGAGTTTCTTGTATTTGGAGCAGCAATTATAGTTATTACAAAATTTTTTTTTAAATGTTACATTAGTACAAACTGGACTGGATCATTTAACTTAAGGTATGCTGATAAAATTTCTTTACTTGAATGAAACTTAATTTATATATTAACTACTACATCAGATACACAATTGTCTGTTACAGCAATGCCAGTCTATAGAGTATTTATTTTGTCTTCCTAGACCAGCATCTTCTTGTTGCTTTTGGAAAATTTCAAGGTTTTTTTTTACTAAATTATTAAAATGGATGTCAGAAAATAGCATAAGGAGAATAAAAAATCTTGTTGGGTTATTAACAATGAAGGTAGTTTTTATAATTTTTGCTTAACATTTTCTTTTTTTTCATATTACTTCGTATATTCAGCAAGCATGTATGTATGCACCCAGCCATTATGTGAGCAGTAAAAATAGTACTTCTATTTCTTACATCTTTTCTTCTGCTAGAAGGAGACATGCCATAAATAGTAACATAATAATCAAATTGTTAGAATGGAAATGCTATGGAGAAAACAGTAGAGAATGGGGGAAAAAGGAGGAATTGTTTGCTGAGGGTTAAGGCAAGTTTCAGTATACTATGAAAAAATAAGAATAGGCCTTTCTACTGATAAAATAAAAATAATAAAAGAAAAATTATGAAAATAGTTAACATTGTTTTTTTCTTCTTATAGCTGGAACAGTCAAATGATTTCAGTTCGTGAAGCCAAAGCCATTCCGAGGCCTGATGGCATTGAATGGAGAAATAAATACATTTGTGTAGAAGGTAGCTTTCTATAACCTAACCATATAGTTACTGTCACGGTACTGACAGAATTACTTGAATAATTTCATCTTATGTTTCAATTAGAAGTAACATTTATGTTCTAAAGATTTACAAGTTTTTTAGCTATAAAATTTTAATTTTAATATCATTTTAAATTCTTTAGTTTTGAGAAATAATAAACATAAATGTTTTATTTAGTCTTTCCTCCTCGGTAAGATTTCAGCAGTCTTTCTCTCATGCTTATAGTTGCTACTTAATCTTAATGGGTTACAGGTGGAAGAAAATATAATTTTCATGTGATTCTTAAGTCAAAATGAGCCTTTTATACTTAAAATACTGATATCCAGTACAAGCTATTTTTTTTAATGGTAAGAAATTGATTTTAATTTAAAAGTCATTCTCTGAAGCTATTTTTTTCAGTAAAATTAATTTACATGTAGTTGAATATTTCTTTGGGTTGATAGGAAACTGACTTCAAGAGGCAGAATTGTTCTTCCTGATGTCAAATTGATGACTTTTGTAAAACTTGAGGTAAAAGAGAATAAAGGGTTGAGATCCCACAGATGTTGGAAAATTCCAAATTATAGCATATCATGTATTATATATAACTTAAGAATTTGTGAATATATGACTTTGGTGTTTCATTTGCTAAATTGTACTTCTGGTGTGTATTAATTATATGAATATTCTCTTGAATATTAAATACTGACTTTTGTAAAGTACTATTGCGTGATATAATCCAGTAGTTTGGCATATGACATTATTGGATTTTAAAAGTGATATAAATTCCTTTTAAAGATTGCCTAACTAAACAAGAGAGAAAGGGTTTTTTTTTTTTTATTATTATGGCCCTGCTGAGATTATATGACAAATATAAACTTAATTTCTTGATCAGATTTTCTATTTTTCCCCAGGTTGTTGTCCTCAGTTACCTTTTATCTCTCTGACTTCAGTTTTTTCTCTCTAGGCCCTCTCTTAATGGACACTTTAAGCTTTTTTTGTCCTTAAAAATACTCTTGATTTGACCCTAATGGCACTTTGAGTACTTTGTCTACTGCCAAAAACTCTCATACTTTTACTTTTAAGTATCAATACATCAGATTAACTCTGGAAACATTAGTGGATTGATGTGTTTTGAAAATAAGAAGCATTATTTCATCTGTCCTAACTTACTCCTAAAGCTTTCAGTTACTCTCCTTTTCTTACTTCATTTTCAGTCTCCTTGTCCTCTTTTTTTAATTGACACTATATGACTCTCTAGATGACTTCCTTTCTTATTTTATGGGTGGAAGGTAAGTGAGGAGAAAGGTGGATACATTGGAATCACTTACAAATAAAAATTCTTTGTTTCTGTGCTTCTCTACTTGCTATCCTATTTTCCTCTACTTTCACAGACAAATTTCACATTCAGGTTACTAGTTCTTATTGTTCCTTTTCCTACAACCATTCACTTGTGTTTTAACTGCATTATCTTTTATTCTTACCAGTGTTAAATCTCTACATTCATTGGTGTGGATAGTTTCATCGTGCTGCTCTTTAACCCCTTGTGCCACCTGAGAACCCCCTGTTCTGTTCTTTTTGATAACTGTTTATCTTATTTTTATTCTCTTAAGGGAAGTTTTGACCTATACTTCTTCAAAATCTTGCTCACTTTTAAAATTTAGGTTAAACATACCTAGGCTGGTTTTCTTAGTTATCCTCTCACTTGATTTTTACCAACCTTATATTAGACAGCTCATAGCTATATAAAACTTTTCTGTATGCATCAATTTAATAAATAATAGGCTGAACCATATGACATTGCTGTTTTGTTGGGCAGAAACTGTTGAATATTGGCAGTGTGATTTAGTTCAACTAAATAACAACTGAAGTTTTCAGTTTTTAATAATTTGTTTATACATGCATTTATCATTGTAGAACCTTTTGATGGAACAAATACCGCCAGAGCTGTGCATGAAAAGCAGAAATTTGACATGATCAAGGATCAGTTTTTAAAGGTAAGCAGTGTATCAGATTAACTTAAAATCATTAGTGAACTAATGTTTAGAAAATGAGAAAAGTTCTATATTATACTACAGAATAGCCCTGGTTCCTGTATGGTGAAGCCATTAGTATGGCATAGTAGGAAATTTGATACTTCAATTTAGATACATTTCTTCTGGCTTGCTTTTCATTCACATGATTTTACTTTAATGAAAATGAGCATTTTTAAAGTGAGTGTATTATAGTCCCATAAGTTTGTGAATAAAATAATGTACTCCTTTCCCTCCTTAAAATATTGAGGAATTTATTACAGACTAAGAAGAAAATTGATGTTTATTCCATAACTTTTTTTTTCTGGATATGCCACTGTACCAAGGAACTAGGGCACCATTTTATCTTTGTTTATATTTTGAAAAGTTAAAAAGTTTGTATGTATGCAATTTATATTATATAAAGTCATATATATGTATGTGTATATATAATGTAATTTATTCCTAACTTAATAGTCCTTCATATGAGTTTGTTTATCAGTGATTATGCTAGATAAGGTGCTGTCTTCAAGAAATTTCATGGTACAGTATAGAAATGTGTTGGTTAGAAATATATACTATGAGAAATACAGGAGAGAATGCTTCACAGAAGAGAAAGATCAGAGAACTGTGAAGATCATTTTAGAGGCTTACATTTTCATTACCTAGATAAACAAGTGGACTTTTAGTATAGTGATAATTAAAAATATAAGTGTGCCATATTACAAACTGTCCATCTTATACCCTCTTAATGTGTAAAGCACAATAAAATTAAAAAAAAATTTTTTTTTTTATTTATTTGTGCATACAGAACTGGGGTACAGGCCAGAGGCTCAGGGGCAGTGAGAGGCTTCACCAGAGACAGAGTGGGGAACAGAACAGGCAGATCGACGAAGTATACTGCTGAGGGGAGCAGCGGGCGGGTCAGGAGAGGTCTGCCACGCCATGTGGTCACCTCCGGGGCAGGCGGGAATCGAACTCATGCCGAAGCGGCTTTAGCTTCTCAGTGCTGTGCTTTAACCCGCTACGCCACCAGGAAGGGCCACAATAAAAAATTTTTAATGGAAGCAATTTTGTAGGGCAAAACAAATACTCAAGAGAGAAAATTTTGTCTATTAGTTTAAATTGAGAGCTCTAAAAGTAGCATTGCTACCTTACTATATTCTTATTGATGAGTGAGCTTTTGTTTAAGATTGTTTAGTGTAAAACCAGTAATTTTCATCAAGTGGATAACTGAAGTGAAAACATACTACCAAGATCTGCAGTCACCACATAGTGGGCCAGATTTTTAGCTTGAGTACAAGAATTTGTTTCTTTTATTCTTATAAATTCTATTTAGTCTTCTAGAGTATAACCTACAGTGCTTTCTTATAGTGTATTCTCTACATACTGCTACTAGATACTACATGGTAATATACATATTGTTTTTAGTTAAAAAATCTAGTAATGATTACCTGTAGCCTCACTTCTTTATTAATAAATTAGAACCAAACAGGTGTAGTTTTTAAAAATAACATTTTATTTTGATACCAGAAATGCTTGTATTTTGTTTAAAATTTGGGAGATTAAAAACCAGGGGAAAAAAATCACTTAAAATTTTAAGTGAAAATCACTACTAACCATGTTTAGTGTACCTTCAGTTTTTGTTGCATAGGTATCTTAAGTTTTAAGAATGACTTTTCTTTCTTTTCCAGTCATGGCACAGATTGAAAAACAAAAGAGATTTGAACAGTATACTACCTTTAAGAACTGCTGTCCTGAAAAGATAACTGGCCTCTATTTCTTAATAAATTTTTCTGAGAAATAAAGAACAACAGTAACATCAATACATTTTGTTTACCTCCATCATGGTTTCTTTTTAATTGCTCTTCTTGTTTTCATGTTTTATTTTTAAATGGACATACTTATATAAAGATTGCATATTTTATTATGACATTTCCTAATAAAACCCTCTGATTTAAAGATGTATTTTTGAAAATGTTTACATTGATGACTAGTGATATTATGGCATGAATTTTCAGGAGATCAGATGAAATATTTTTGGCGGAATTAACTGAACACAAAAGTTTTGATATAACTTCGATTAATTGTACTACATGCTATGAAGAGATCTGTGGAATTTTGGAAAGAGTCTGATTCATCTGTATTTAAATACAGCCCACAGTGAATAAGTTTTTGTGAGTCTGTTCTAGTAAAGTGAAGATTTAAATCAGTTGTTCAGTTACTTGAAGCAAAATAAAATCTTTTATTTCAGTGAAATCACTGCAGAGGCATGAAATACTGAACAGATGCCTTAAATCTACATTTGACTCACCAGGGTAGACAGAAGCCTTGGATGTGTCTATCCTAACATTTCATTCGTACCTCATATGCTTTTGATGTACTCAAGATCGCTTTGAATTTATGTTGAAACAGCTACACTTTGCACTGTAGTAATATGAGCACTAACTGTATTATACAGCAATTAGTGCACTATTTTGAAGAATCAGTTCAGTGTAGACATTTTGAAGTTCAGTTCCCTGTGCTCTATGATAGCTTAGTGCAATGTGCACTTTGCTTTATGTTTGTTTTCTGGCTTTTACTTTCCGTGTAACAACATGAAGCAACGGAACCTGAAAGATCAAAGTTAAGAGTATATCCTGTTGATAGAATTAGATTTTCTTGTGTGTGTACATTTATAGGATTTAACCTGAACTGGAATTTTTAGGCAGTCAGCCACTATGGTATGTTTTAGGTAAGACATAACAAAATTATTCTATAAATAAAAACTTAATGTTTATAAAGATAACCTTTTTTAGTATTTCTTTTCCACAAGAAGACATAGTGGTGGCTGCTAAATAAAAGAAGCTAGTTTGGTTTTGGTTTATGTAAATATTTGTAAATTGGCCAAATGCTTGTAAATTTAACTATAAAGAGTTACCTGAAAACAATTTTAACTTTTTCAAAAGGACTGTGTACAAATTCTTTTAGACCTGCTGTAGCACAGTTTGTACCTCTAATGTATTTGGTTATTTTGCAGACCAATCCAAATGCTAAGATTTTGCTTTTCTTTGACATGTAAAAGGTGCATATTTTCATTTTCTTCGTTAAGTTCAAATTTTTGTATGATATCAAAAATGAATAAAGTTTATATATGGAAATATTCATGTATTTGTGTATGTGTGAAAACTATTATTTAGAACTGAACCAAATCTAATTACCATCCTTGATTATTTAGATCATACAGAGAATCTTGAAATCATATCATTATTGGTAAAACCAGTAAGCACATCAATATCCAATTTTTGTGGTATTCGTAAAAATAAATCTTTTATATAGGTGAACTTTCAAATTATTGATGTTATTTTTTAAGCAATTAAGCTTTTTATATTCTTTGAAGTTTTTAAAAAAATGTTATATATTGCATAACATTTCTTTATCTGAATGTATTAAGTATAACATATAAGTGGTGGTACCAAGTAATCATAAATAATAGTGATAGTAACCTATAATAATACTATACTATAATAATGTCCAGCTCTCAGGGGTGGGTAAGAATGTTAGTTGTTGTATCTGTACAGTATTATTAATTTCCTCCCGAAACCCCAGAATTTGCCATTGTGTGGATTCCTTCACTGTCAACTATGTTTGTTGCTTTCAGTAACCTCACCTATGTTACTGCTGCTTATTTTCAGCGGTTTTGCTTTACAAAATAGATCAGCAGTTAATAAACGTACACCCAATACTAAGTCAGTAGTCTTAAACCTTAAATTATGTACTTTGTGACAGCCATTTGTGTCACATAAAGTGGGCTATTAATATGAAAAAGCTTAGACTATTTTCAATATGATTTATTTACTATGTGAATAACACATTCTTTTACATTTCTATTTGTGTTGATCTCACCACTCTATACATTTACATGTGTTGTTACTCAAGGTAGTATTAGAGTGTTAAAAATGTGCAATCTGTATTCTAAATTTTGCATGATTTGAACTAGGATCTTTGTAAATCAGTCTTACTTGTTTTAGTTAGTATTCCTAAGAAATTTTTAGCTAAATGGGAGGAATAGAGTGGCTATTGGTAGTTTTAATTAGAGCTTAACATTCCCAGAACTGTGATTGAGTTTTTTTTTTTTCCCCTCGGTGAGCAGTCATTTGGGATTACTAATGGGAAAGCTAAGCTTAGTTTGTATCGAGAATGAATAAATTGTGGAGAGTTGGCCCCTGGCTGCCTTCCCTTTTATGCCCACTAGTTGAGCTTCTGTACTGTATCATAACTATATAGCAGTTTTCTATTTGCTCACTTAATGCCTGCACACAACCTTGTGCAGCTGGTAAATACTGTCTAACTTACAGTCACATTTAACAGCTCTCTGAATAGATGTTGCTGTAACTTAAAATGTTAACTGTTCTAAAATCTGCCATAAAATCATTCTCACAAAGAGAACACTTTTACATATTATAAAATTATCTCTACCTGTTTGTACATACTTAGGTCTGGTCTGTCTTCAGGGAACATTCACTAAGCACCTACTTACTGTGTCATAAACTTTTGCTGACTTGTAAGGCATCTAAAGATGGAGGGGTTGCTGTAACTAAAATGAGTGACTTTCAAATGTACTGAGGGAAAAGGACAAAAATGATTGGAATATAGGATAATGTTGGAACCTGAAGAGGGTTACTGAGCTTTCTTGTGATTCAAAGAAAGATGGTTGAAAGGAGTAGCAGCCCTATTAGAGAAAAGCACAAAGAGGAGGGCATAAAAAGAGTGCAGGCACTTTGAATGGCTAGCAAAGGAGCCTTTATTGGTGTGCTGGCCAGCAAGGTTCACTGACCCCCACAGAAGGTCAGAGTCTGGCAGTTAAGGGCAAGTATGTGGGAGATAAGGGCTGGGGCCTGGGTGCTTTCTGGGATTCAGTCAAGTATGTGAGAGATAAAGTCTTGGGGCCAGGGTGTAGCTGGGTGGAAGGTGAGAGGAAGCAATTGTTTTTTTTTGGGTATGGGAAGATAAAGGCAAGGACAAGTTTCAAGGCTCCTGTCCACACCCACCCTAGGTTCCCAGGAACCCATGTATTTCTTGGGTGACCTTTCAACAGTGAACCTGAATAAAAGTATACCAGTTAATAAAAGGTGAGATGAGGCTGTCTGGAGGAAGGCACTGGTGTGACTTGATAAATTGTTGGGAATTACTGGCTTTTAAACATACCAAACAGGTAAAATGTGGGTTATGCATTTATTTTACCAGGGAACTTGGGCTTTAGTTCTTGGGCAATAGGAAGCCATGGAGGTTTTTGTAAGCTTGGGCCTGAGATCCAACCAGTGGCCTAGGTAGGGCATTTGGGCTGAGTTTCTGACAAAACTGCCTTTGGTCAATTTGCCTTTGATTTTGGAAAATTATACCTCTTTAAGGGTTAAGGTTACGGAGATAAAAGTTTCCAGGCTGAATGAACAATACAGGCATCAGTGACGGAAGAAATACACAATTTACTGAGTTGCAAATTTAGAGTGTCGGTATTTAGCACTGGTTCAAAACTGAGCTTAAGAAAAAGCAAACCTAGCTTTGTTTCTTCCCTTTGGGCCACTTTACCAGCAGCAAGACCGTCAGCAAGCTATCCAGACTCTTCTGAGCCTCTGTTTCCTCATCTTAACTAAAACCGATGTTTCAGTTAAACTTACCACAGGACATTATCAAAATGAGACCCTTAGTAGGGTGCCTCAATTACCCCTCTGCTCAGTGAAACGTAATCCGTTGGCTAGAAATAAAAAAGCCTAGCAAACCCACCCAGGGCAAAGGCGGGGTTGGGTGCCTTTCAACAATCCTGTGTAGCCTGAAGAGTCTCTGCCCCTCAATGGCGATCCCAGATGCTAGAAAGGCCCGCCAAAGCTTTACCTAAAAGGGCGGAGAGGGCTCGGGAGAAGTTGGCAGACGCGCGGGGAAGAGGAGAAACAGCCGCGGCCCGAGAAGCTCCGTGGCGAAACTTTGACGCCTTCTATTTAAAGTCTCGGGGCTCACCCGCCCCCGCCCCCTGGCCGGGAACCCGAGTCGCAGCGCCGGGCAGAACTGCGCCGGGCGGGTCGCGAGGCGCAGTCAGAGGGAGAACACCAGGCGCGGCGCGGGCGGCTCCGGCTCCGGCTCCGGCCCGGGAGAAGCACGATGGCGAGCAGCGACAGCAACCACGCCGTGGAGAGCTTCGTCGGCTCCGACGAGGACGAGGAGGCGACCCGGGGACTGGAGAGCGAGGAGGAGTCCGAGGGGGAGGGTGACGAGACGGCCGCGGAGTCGGAAGAGGAGCCGGACGCCAGGTAGCGTGACCCTCCTCAGGCCCCTGCTGAGTAAGCCACGCCGGGGCCTGGAGCGCGGCGTTGGAGACAGGTGCTTCCCAGCGAAACCCTGCGCGCCCTTTCTTTTCCTTTTTAAATGCTAGAGTTATTCCCTCACGCAGTTTCTCTCTAGGGGCGCTGCCACAGTAAAGAACTTGAGGTGTCAGCTGGAGTGACAGGTCCGCCTGCAGCCATGAAGTTTATTGCCCTCCCACCCCATCCATCTTCACCATTCCTTTCACCAGCCCACCTCCCTGCCAGGGCTGCTCTGGTTTATTCCTGGGGATTTTCTTAAAAGTCCCACCTAACTACAGAAATGTGCTGAAAACTTACATTTGGCTAAAGGAACAATCTTGAGAAGCCTGAGCAGAGAGAGAATTGGGTACAGAGCGGGGGTGGAAGCAGAGAAGGCCACTCAACCCTTCAAACGCTGAAGGTCGGCTGGACACCTAACGCCAGGTGGCTACTGTATCTTAGTAAGATATAGCTTACAGTAGGCCTGTGATATCTTTGGAGTAAAGAACTAGGACTTCCGAACCCTTGTTTTTAAATTCCTGCCTTTTTTTTTTTTTTTTTTTACCTTCCTGATTCCAAATGTTTTAGTGCCATGGATGCAATTATAGATAATGCTATATATGAATTCATGGTTCTGCTCCATCTTGTAGACCCTAAAATGGGAATAGTTGGAATCAACTCTTCGGGGGTTTCTACTTAACTTGTTCTCTTAGAGTATATATGTTTTTGCTTTTGGGAGTTGGTTTTTTTCTTTTAGTATTTTTGTTTGTTTTGTCATTGATGTCCCGTCCCAAATCTATTAATATCAACAACGAGGATTTGTAGGTGACAGATCGAGGTGCACTATTTTGGACCGCTCATCTTACCCAAAGTTAAAAAGACTGCTTCCCAAAGCCAACAGCTGACATTGAAATAACCCACGTGGATTCAGATGAAATGTCTGTCAGATAAGTCTGCAATCATAAGCATATTTACTAAGCAACAATCAGGTGTGACGTAGGAACAATCTCTGCCCCCTAAGATTTACTAAAGAAAGTTAGGAAGCTATAGAGGAAGTGAGGTTTTGTGCCAAAAATATGAGAGAAACTAACAGGAAAGACCCTGTATACAGTGAAAAGTCAGAGGATAGTGTAGAGCTGTGAGTGTCTGGAAGACTTGAATAGAACCGCAGAAAGTTGAGGCAGCCATAACTGAGGAAAATAATGAGGGACCCTTGTTATTGGGTGATATTGGGAAGGGGAGCAATCTGTCAACATCAACCTTTAAAACCTTTCCCTCTTAATGATGTCCAGGAGCTTCCTATCCTTGGTTAATCAAAAACTTCCCCCTCGGAGAATGTAAAAATTCATTTACAATAAATTCTGAGTAGTTGACAATGACTCAAAGCCCCTCTTTGGGATTGTATTGCCCTTGGTAGAGGTCAGATCTTCAGGTACGGATAGGATGTATCTGCTGTCAAATTCAGTCTGCTCTAGTTACAGCTGGGAGGGACAGACGGGCATGGGTAGATTGAATAGGGTAGAGGGAAACTTGAGGTAGATGGCAGGGAGGCCTTAAAAACTATCACATTTAGTTTGGATTTGATGCCATGGGTAATACAGATTGAGGGAACTTCTGAACAGAATTTACTGGACTGTTGGAAAATTAGCCTGACAGGCAGATCAGGTTTGGGGAGGGCTTGTCAGGAGGCAGTAGCAGAGAAAAAGGAGGCTGTCAAAGGTTAAACGAGGGTGGGTACAATGGGAAAGGGAATAATGACTAGAGGTGGAGAGGCATGAATAGGGAGGAACTTTTAGGGGAACTGGAGTCC